TTCGAAAAATCCAAAAATTGAAAAAACTAAGAATCGAAAAGAAGTCGAAAATTTGAAAAGTTCAGAAATTCAGAAAGCGAAAAGTAAAAAAATGAAAATTCAAATTTGGGAAATCGAAGGAACAAAACTCGGCAAATCGGAAATTCCAAAATTCGAAAATGGATTAATCGGTGTGGAAAAATTGAAAAATGGAGAAATTAAAAAATCAAGAAATGGAAATTGAGAAAACAAAATTCGAATATCGAAAAACCGAAAATTCGAAAAGTAGAAAAATCGAAAATCTGAAATGTCGAAAATAGAAAATTGAATGAATCAAATAATCGAAAAATCGAAATTTCGAAAAATTGGAATTTCTAAAAACGAACAAAACGAAAATTTGAAATGTCGGAAAATCAAAAGTCAAGAAATCGAAAATTCATTCGAAAATTGAAAATTTGAAATATCGAAGATTCGAAAAACCGAAAAATCCGAAAATTTAATGTATGTTGAAAAACTGAAAAATCGAGAATCTGAAAAAGAGGAAAATAAAAAAATTGAAAACTCGAAATATGGAAAAATCAAAAATCGAAAATTGAATGAATTAAACACACATTTGAAAATTCGAAAATTCGGAAAATCGGAGTGGAAAAATCGAGAACAAGAAAAAAGTAAAAAAATTGAAAATTAGAATTTTGAAAAATGAACAAATCCAAAGTTGTAAAAACAAAACTTCGAGAAATCGAAAATAGCGTGATCTAAAATTTGAAAAGTCAAAATATCGAAAAATTGGAAAATTGATGAAATAAATTTTCGAAAAACCCAAAAATTGAAAAAACCAAGATTCGAAAAAGCAAAGTCGAAAATTTGAAAAATTCAGAAATTCAGAAAGCGAAAAGTAAAACATATATTTCAAATTTGGGAAAATGAACAAATCGAGAATTCAAAAATCGAAGGAACAAAACTCGGCAAATCGGAGATTCCAAAAATCGAAAATCGATTAATCAAATATTCCAAAAATCGAAAATCGATTAATCAAATATTCCAAAAATCGAAAATTGAAAAAATCGGTGTGGAAAAATTGAAAAAGTGAAAAGTAAAAAAACTGAAAATTCGAACTTGGAAAATCGAACAAATCAAAAACAGAAAATTCAAAGATCGATTAAGAGAAATAAAAAAATCCGAGAATAGAAATACAGAAAAAACGAAATATAGAAATTCGAAAATTCGGAAAATCGGAGTGGAAAAATCGAGAACAAGAAAAATGTAAAAAAATTGAAAATTCGAATTTTGAAAAATGAACAAATCCAAAGTCGTAAAAACAAAACCTTGAGAAATCGAAAATAGCGTGATCTAATGTTTGAAAAGTTAAAATATAGAAAAATTGGAAAATTGATGAAATAAATTTTCGAAAAATCCAAAAATTGAAAAAACCAAGATTCGAAAAAGCGAAGTCGAAAATTTGAAAAATTCAGAAATTCAGAAAGCGAAAAGTAAAAAAATTAAAATTCAAACATGGAAAAATGAACAAATCTAAAATTCAAAAATCGAAGGAACGAAAATCGGAAATTCCAAAAATCGAAAATCAACTAATCAAATATTTGAAAAATCGATAATTGAAAAAAACGAAAATTCGAAAAATCGGTGTGAAAAATTGAAAAAGTGCAAAGTAAAAAAATTGAAAATTCTAATTTGTAAAAACGAACAAATCATAAACAGAAAATTCAAAAATCGATTAAGAGAAATAAAAAAATCCGACAATAGAAATACAGAAAAAACGAAATATAGAAAGTTGAAAAATCTAAAAATCCAAAAGTCGAAAAATGGTTAGATTGAAAAATCAAGAACTGGAAATTGAGAAAACAAAATTCGAATATCGAAAAACCGAAAATTCGAAATGTAGAAAAATCGAAAATCTGAAATTTCGAAAATAGAAAATTCGAAATATCGAAAATCGAAAATTGAATGAACCAAATAATCGAAAAATCGAAATTTCGAAAAATTGGAATTTCGAAAAACGAACAAAACCAAAATTCGAAATATCGGAAAATCAAAAGTCAAAAAATCGAAAATTCATTTGAAAATTGAAAATTTGAAATATCGACGATTCAAAAACCGAAAAATCCGAAGTGGAAAAATCGAAAATTTAATGTATGTTGAAAAACTGAAAAATCGAGAATCTGAAAAAGAGGAAAATAAAAAAATTGAAAACTCGAAATATGGAAAAATCAAAAATCGAAAATTGAATGAATTAAACACACATTTGAAAATTCGAAAATTCGGAAAATCGGAGTGGAAAAATCGAGAACAAGAAAAAAGTAAAAAAATTGAAAATTCGAAATTTGAAAAATGAACAAATCCAAAGTCGTAAAAACAAAACTTCGAGAAATCGAAAATAGCGTGATCTAAAATTTGAAAAGTCAAAATATCGAAAAATTGGAAAATTGATGAATTAATTTTCGAAAAATCCAAAAATTGAAAAAACCAAGATTCGAAAAAGCGAAGTCGAAAATTTAAAAAATTCAGAAATTCAGAAACCGAGAAGTAAAACATGTATTTCAAATTTGGGAAAATGCACAAATCGAGAATTCAAAAATCGAAAATCGATTAATCAAATATTCCAAAAATCGAAAATTGAAAAAATCGGTGTGGAAAAATTGAAAAAGTGAAAAGTAAAAAAACTGAAAATTCGAACTTGGAAAATCGAACAAATCAAAAACAGAAAATTCAAAGATCGATTAAGAGAAATAAAAAAATCCGAGAATAGAAATACAGAAAAAACGAAATATAGAAATTCGAAAATTCGGAAAATCGGAGTGGAAAAATCGAGAACAAGAAAAAAGTAAAAAAATTGAAAATTCGAATTTTGAAAAATGAACAAATCCAAAGTCGTAAAAACAAAACTTCGAGAAATCGAAAATAGCGTGATCTAAAATTTGAAAAGTTAAAATATCGAAAAATTGGAAAATTGATGAAATAAATTTTCGAAAAATCAAAAAATTGAAAAAACTAACAATCGAAAAGAAGTCGAAAATTTGAAAAATTCAGAAATTCAGAAAACGAAAAGTAAAAAAATGAAAATTCAAATTTGGGAAATCGAAGGAACAAAACTCGGCAAATCGGAAATTCCAAAAATCGAAAATGGATTAATCGGTGTGGAAAAATTGAAAAATGGAGAAATTGAAAAGTAAAAAAAAATCGAAAATTCATTCGAAAATTGAAAATTTGAAATATCTAAAATTCGAAAAACCGAAAAATTGAAATTTCATGAAACAAACATGAAAAACCTTAAAACAAATAGATAATTGAACATGAAATGAACAAATCAAAAATCGAAGATTGGATTAATCAAATATTCGAGCAGGTTTTTCTACTTCAAAGATAAATTGTAAAATGTTACACAATTTTGATTTTTTCCCAAAAATCAGGACGTCCAGGGTAAAAACTCAACACGGATTCATAAATCACACATGCAGGAATATGTAATTCTGTAAAACTTAAGAAAAATCCGCCAAAATTGAGCAGGAGACCAATTTTTTCGTACTTTACGATCATGCCAAAAATAAATTTCGTCCGAAACATGCGACCAGTGTTTATGACGCACCCAAATAAAACAAAATATGAACCGTTAGACAGCTTTGTGTGTCATCCCAAAACAGAATTAAAATAGAATACGAATTCTCAACTAATATTTCTTTCGACTGTAATTATTTACGTGATTTTTATTAAGATAAAATACCACAATACACAACCAGCTGGCAACCAGCGTTCTAGCTAACACGTTACTTATCATTTCTAAGAAGACCGCGGCACTTTGTTCTTAAGCACCACATCGATTCAATAATCACACAACTTATTTCCCTCTTTCAAAACAACATTACAGACCGATTAGATCTCCCACAACACAAAATTAAAAAATATTTATAAATAGAGATCTCATAAACCTCAGGAAAAATCTTCTCCGGGTTCCAGTTGCAACAGCTTCATGATGTTCAACCGTATTTTTAGATTAACTACAATTTTAGATGCGTTCGTCTCGAATTACGCTCAAATAATATTTTACCGGGGAAAACACACAAAACGTAAAACTACTACCAACAAACAGACACGAAATTTGGCACTTACCTATTACTAAAGTTCCTCTACAGTTGTCGGTCATTTCGTCTGCAATAAAAGCGGATTAGTGGGTTTTTATTTTAAACACTCAAAATAATCACCTTTTTATCCTAACCACAATCCAGATGGGCCAACATCATGGTGTTTAACAGAACATCTGCAACAAAAAAATAATACCACCACGTTCATTATCATCATCATCATCATTATTATTATTTATTAATAGTAATTGTTTGTTTGTTTGTAAGGATTTAGGACCTCGACCCTCCCCCAATAAATCTTTACCTCTAAAATGATTAAAGAGGGTAGTGTGAAGAAATCAATATAACAACAGGTCCCTAAAAAAATTACCACACTGAACCTTCACCCAACTCAAAAGTCAACAATAATCACGCATTCTTAGAATCCGGGTCTTGATCCAGCCCGATAGCATTGACTTTCCATCAAAATTTAAAAGGGTTACGCGGTTTTGTTTTTAATGTAATCAATATTAATAACTAACCATGCAGATTTGAGTTCCTTGTGACACAAACACTTTGTATACCTTTCCCGCACTGGACACAGTTTACTTTACATTGGAGAAATGTCACAAGTCCGAAAATTTTTCACTAAAAGGGCCACGATTGAGCGGGTGGGGTTGTATTTCGAGATTTTTCACTCTTACTCGAGGAATTGGGTGACCACGACGCCACCTCTTGGACAACTTGTTTGCCATGCGAAGCTCGACTTTATTGATTTTGTAAACGCTGTTGGTGGCGGTGGCGCGAAGTAGCGTCATACTTGTCAAATTGGAGGTGTTTTTGTTTATTTGATTGATTTAATTAACAAGGGTCCGGTTTGAGTCTTAGTGTGTTTGGGTTTTATAGCAGTGATTGCAAACGATATAGGGGTAAATGAGACACTTTCAGTTTTGAGCAATTTTTTATTGAGGTAGTGTATTAGGAACTCGTTATCCATTGTTCGACGACCGATTGATATTTGCTCAACCATTTCACGTTGTTGGTAACAGTTTCAAGTGCCTGCACTCGAGCGGCCGCTCCTGCCCCTGCATCCGGGTTTTTAGCGAAGAAGTGTTGCATCTGAAAAACATCCTTAATCACTAGTTTCGAATTTTCAAGTCGTACCTCTTCAATTTTAGTGGTGATGGCAAATCTGCTGGTTATACTGGGTATGAGGCGGCCTAAATATCGGTCGTTCAGGGTGAAGCGGTCCACCAGGTACTTCCAGTTTTCTCTACAATTTTTTAAATGTAGATATGTTTGACGGAGGATTGTGCTTACCGAACGTAATCCCAGACTATAGGGGTCCCGATAGGGTTCGCCGCTATGTACTGCAACAGGGTGAAGTAGTCTTGACCTCTCACTACGGTCTCATTTTTGGCTAACTCTATTAATCTAAAAAAAAAAAAAAACAATATAGTTGAGTATATACAATAAATGCGACTCACTTTGTCAACAATGATGGGTTCCGCACGTTCGCAAGCCCGTTCATCAACTTTAGCTTCTCATTGGCATCGCTTTCTTTGGCAAATAAGTCAAAAACTTTGTTCCACGTAACCTCGTCGGCAGTCACCATTCCTACGTAAAAAAAAAATTGAATTTTTTTACTTCTTTTCTTCGATATTCAAATTTTCAATTTTTTGACTTTTCGACTTTCAGTTTTTCGATTTTTCAATTTTTTTTTTCGATTTTTTGATTATTCGAGTTTTCGATTTTCGATATTCGAATTTTGAGTCTACTTATTTTTTTTTCGAATTTTCGATTTTTCAGTTTTTGAATTCTTCAGTTTTTAGATTTTTAATTTTTTTACTTTTCGATTTCCCGAATTTTCAACTCTATTCTAAGTTTTTCGATTATCAATTTCTTTACTTTTCGATTTTACGATATTACGATTTTCCGAGTTTCGGCTTTTCGAAAATTCAATAAACCAAATATTCAAAAAAATGAAAATCCAAAAATCGGAAAGTTGAAAATTTGAAAATCGAAAAAACCGAAAAATTAAAAATTCGAAACTCGAAATTACGAAAAATCGAAAACTTCAAGAACCGAAAAATAGAAAAAAAAAAGGAAATATTGACAGTCTAAACCGAACAGTCGAAAAAAGGAACAATTGAAAATTCGAATATCGAAAAATCGATGAGTCGAATATTCGAAAAATTGAAAACTGAAAAATAAAAACCGGAAGTCGAAAAATTGAAAAATCGAGAGAATTAAAAAGCGAAAAGTACAAAATTTAAAAATAGAATTTCGAAAAATTGACAATATGAATATCGAAAATTCGAAAATCGAAAAGCCGAAACTCGGAAAATCGTAATATCGTAAAATCGAAAAGTAAAGAAATTGAAAATCGAAAAACTTAGAATAGAGTTGAAAATTCGGGAAATCGAAAAATTAAAAATCTAAAAACTGAAGAATTCAAAAACTGAAAAATCGAAAATTCGAAAAAAAATAAGTATTGAGACTGAAAATTCGAATATCGAAAATCGAAAACTCGAATAATCAAAAAATCGAAAAAAAAAACTGAAAAATCGAAAAACTGAAAGTCGAAAAGTCAAAAAATTGAAAATTTGAATATTGAAGAAAAGAAGTCAAAAAATTAAAAATTCGATGAATCAAATATTCGGAAAAACGAAAACTCAAAAATCAGAAAACCGAAAATCAAAAATCGAAATGTAGAAAAATGAAATGTCGAAGTCGTGAAATCGAAAGTCGAAAAACTGAAAAATCGAGAAATTAAAAAATCAAAAATTTAAAAAATCGAAAATTTGAATTTAGAAAACTGAAATTCGAAATATCCACAAACCGGAAAACAAAAAACCGAAAAATGAAAAATTCGAAATTCGATATTAAGAAAAATCGAAAAATCCAAGAATCTAAATACAGAAAAAAAGAAATATCGAAAGTAGTAACATCGGAAAGTCGAATAATTGAAAAATTGAGAAATTAAAAGAGCAAAAATTAAAAATTTGAATAGCGTGAAAAAGAAGTCAAAAAATAAAAATTCGATGAATAGAAGATAACCAAATATATTTTGACTAAAAATTTATTATGCTCTTTATAACATTAAAACATTTGCAAGATTTCAAAACATTCGAAAAATCTAAAATCGGCAAGTAAAAAAATTGCAAATTAAAAAGCAAAAAAATTGAAAACTATAATATCGAAATCTTGAAAAGTCTAAACTTCATAAAATGAACAACGGAAAATTCGAAAAATCGAAGAATATAAAAATTGAGAAATCGAAAAATGTAAAAGAAACAAACTGAAACCTCGAATATCGAAAATTCGATGAATCAAATTCAAATTTCAAAAAAAAACGTTGAAAATTTGAAAATCGAAAAACCGAAAAATTAAAAATTCGAAACTCGAAATTACGAAAAATTGAAAACGTCAAGAATCGAAAAATAGAAAAAAAGGAAATATTGAAAGTTTAAAACGAACAGTCGAAAAAGGGAACAATTGAAAATTCGAATATCGAAAAATCGACGAGTCAAATATTCGAGAAATTGAAAACTGAAAAATAAAAATTCGAAAAATCGGAAAGTCGAAAAATTGAAAAATTGAGAAATTAAAAGAGCAAAACTTAAAAAGATTGAAAATTCGATAAATCAAATATTCGAAAAATCGAAAATTGAAAAAAAGAAAATTCGAAAAATCAAAAGTCGAAAAACTGAAAAAAAGAGATTTAAAAAGCGAAAAGTAAACATTTTAATAGAATTTCGAAAAATAGACAAAACGAATATCGAAAATTCGAAAATCGAATAATCGAGAACTCGAGAAATCAAAAAATGGAAAAGTAAAGAAATTGAAAAATCGAAAATCTGAGAATAGTTGAAAATTCGAGAAATCAAAAAGTAAAAAAAATTGAAAAATCGAAAAATAAAAAATCGGCAAGTAAAAAAATTGCAAATTAAAAACCAAAAAAAATCAAAAATTATAATACCGAAATCTCGAAAAGTAAAAAATTGAAAAGTCTAAACTTCAAAAAATGAACTGGAAATTCGAAAAATCGAAAAATATAAAAATGGAGAAATCGAAAAATGTAAAAGAAACTAACTGAAAATTCGAATATCGAAAATTCAATAAACCAAATATTCAAAAAAATGAATATCCAAAAATCGGAAAGTTGAAAATTTGAAAATCGAAAAAACCGAAAAATTAAAAATTCGAAACTGAAATTACGAAAAATCGAAAACTTCAAGAACCGAAAAATAGAAAAAAAAGGAAATATTGAAAGTCTAAACCGAACAGTCGAAAAAAGGAACAATTGAAAATTCGAATATCGAAAAATCGATGAGTCGAATATTCGAAAAATTGAAACTGAAAAATAAAAACCGGAAGTCGAAAAATTGAAAAATCGAGAGAATTAAAAAGCGAAAAGTAAAAAATTTAAAAATAGAATTTTGAAAAATAGACAAAATGAATATCGAAAATTCGAAAATAGAAAAGCCGAAACTCGGAAAATCGTAATATCGAAAAATCGAAAAATGAAAGATCGAATAGAGAATCGAGAACTCGAGAAATCAAAAAATCGAAAAGTAAAGAAATTGAAAATCGAAAAACTTAGAATAGAGTTGAAAATTCGAGAAATCGAAAAGTAAAAAAATTAAAAATCTAAAAACTGAAGAATTCAAAAACTGAAAAATCGAAAATTCGAAAAAAAATAAGTATAGAGACTGAAAATTCGAATATCGAAAATCGAAAACTCGAATAATCAAAAAATCGAAAAAAAAAATTTGAAAAATCGAAAAACAAAGTCGAAAAGTCAAAAAATTGAAAATTTGAATATCGAAGAAAAGAAGTCAAAAAATTAAAAATTCCATGAGTCAAATATTTGGAAAAACGAAAACGCAAAAATCAGAAAACCGAAAATTCAAAAATCGAAATGTAGAAAAAATGAAATATCGAAGTCGTAAAATCGAACAGTCGAAAAACTGAAAATCGAAAAATTACAAAATCAAAAACTGTCGAAAACTGAAATTCGAAATATCCAAAAACTGGAAAACAACAAACCGAAAAATCAAAAAGTCGAATAATCAAAAAATCGAAAAATAAAAATTTTGAAAAATCTAAAAACTGAAAGTCGAAAAGTAAAAAGAATTGAAAATTTGAATATCGTAAAAAAGAAGTCAAAAAATCAAAAATTCGATTAATCAAATATTCGAAAAAACGACTACTCAAAAATCAGAAAACCGAAAATTCAAAAATCGAAATGTAGAAAAATGAAATGTCGAAGTCGTGAAATCGAAAGTCGAAAAATTGAAAAATCGAGAGAATTAAAAAGCGAAAAGTAAAAAATTTAAAAATAGAATTTCGAAAAATAGACAAAATCAATATCGAAAATTCGAAAATCGAAAAGCCGAAACTCGGAAAATCGTAATATCGAAAAATCGAAAAATGAAAGATCGAATCGAGAATCGAGAAATCAAAAAATCGAAAAGTAAAGAAATTGAAAATCGAAAAACTTCGAATAGAGTTGAAAATTCGGGAAATCGAAAAGTAAAAAAATTAAAAATCTAAAAACTGATGAATTCAAAAACTGAAAAATCGAAAATTCGAAAAAAAATAAGTATAGAGACTGAAAATTCGAATATCGAAAATCGAAAACTCGAATAATCAAAAAATCGAGAAAAAAATTTGAAAAATCGAAAAACTGAAAGTCGAAAAGTCAAAAAAATTTAAAATTTGAAAACCGAAAATTCAAAAATCGAAATGTAGAAAAAATTAAATATCGAAGTCGTAAAATCGAACAGTCGAAAAACTGAAAATCGAAAAATAAAATCAAAAACTGTCGAAAACTGAAATTCGAAATATCCAAAAACTGGAAAACAAGAAACCGAAAAATCAAAAAGTCGAATAATCAAAAAATCGAAAAATAAAAATTTTGAAAAATCTAAAAACTGAAAGTCGAAAAGTAAAAAGAATTGAAAATTTGAATATCGTAAAAAAGAAGTCAAAAAACCAAAAATTCGATGAATCAAATATTCGAAAAAACGACTACTCAAAAATCAGAAAACCGAAAATTCAAAAATCGAAATGTAGAAAAAATGAAATGTCGAAGTCGTGAAATCAAAAGTCGAAAAACTGAAAAATCGAGAAATTAAAAAATCAAAAATTTAAAAAATTGAAAATTTGAATTTCGAAAACTGAAATTCGAAATATCCACAAACCGGAAAAAAAAAACCGAAAAATCAAAAATTCGAAATTCGATATTAAGAAAAATCGAAAAATCCAAGAATCTAAATACAGAAAAAACGAAATATCGAAAGTAGTAACATCGGAAAGTCGAGTAATTGAAAAATTGAGAAAATGAAAGCAAAAATTAAAAAAATTGTCGTAAAATCAAACAGTCGAAAAACTGAAAATCGAAAAATTACAAAATCAAAAACTGTCGAAAACTGAAATTCGAAATATCCAAAAACTGGAAAACAACAAACCGAAAAATCAGAAAGTCGAATAATCAAAAAATCGAAAAATAAAAATTTTGAAAAATCTAAAAACTGAAAGTCGAAAAGTAAAAAGAATTGAAAATTTGAATATCGTAAAAAAGAAGTCAAAAAATCAAAAATTCGATGAAT